ATGACGACGTGTACTCAAGCATATGATTCGACATGAGTGGGGAAGGCAACAGTCAAGGTCCGTGACATCCACGGCCACCCATGCAAGTCACACAGGCAATGGAGCAGGGCAGACGGCGTGGACCATTGATTCCCTGCCACATTTGAGGTGCATCTATAAGGGTGATGTCACACTAACGCTGAATCACCGTATGAAACAGCGACGAGAGCTGTAACACCACCATAACGTACTATTCACGCTAGAGAAATAAACCAATTTGGAAACACAACAAATTAAGATGGCACACTAGTTTTGCTGCAATAATGACACCATCCATCCTAGATGAAATTAACATGGCCATAGACAATCAAACAACATTGGTCCATTTGAACATGTCATGACACAGAGATACATCAAATGGAGCTTTATTCACTACTCCGCTAATGACTCCAAGAAAAAAGAACAAGGGAACATAAGGAAGAAAGTAAGGTCTACTCATGAACTGTGCCAGGACTTTACGTCTATCATAGCTACGGTCAACACTGGCAAGGATGACATGAACTTTTCTTCGGTCCATGTCATACGCGATGATTGTTCTTTCCGCCCCAACAAAGAAAATCAAATTCCATTCTAGGTGAACTATAATCGTTGTGTAGGCTGAATCATAATCCACATAACCAAATTGAATATTAGTCTTTCCAAACACCTTCAGTGTGCTGATAGTATGCTTCAATGTCCATTTATTAGTAGCATAGTCTTCAAGGATCTAAATAGAAAGTTGGGACATATTGTGACCACTAACACCACCAATAGTACATACACACAAGTGACCCTGAGCTTGATGGATGGAGGGTAGAGTACCACGAGGCCAAGGAATTTTCCTCCATATCTTTCCCACCATATCCACAACAAGTATCAGAGAGTACCCCATAATGTGTAGACAACAGTTAAGAAACATACTTGCTGATCTTGAACGTATCACATCATCAATGTCCTAGCCCCATTCAGATTCCTGATAGATCCATGCTGCAGTTGAGATGAGTAGATATCCACACCTAGGCACTCAATGTCCTCCTCCACAAATTCAATCACATGGAAGTGCGAGAAGGCTATTGGATCGAACCCCGATCGAGCCTGACCAACATCATGGATGCTAGGCAGTAGTACCCGCAAATTCTTGGTTGCCGGATTGTAGACGACATAGCAGGATCCAGCAGCCTCAACGCACAAGCATAGGATGAGGCCATTGCAGCAATCTAAGACAGCTACTTTGTCAATGGGGAAGGGCAAGAAGGACAAGTTGGGGCGTTCACCAGTGACGCTGGTGAAGTTTCGCTCGTCTTTCTCGCCATCATAGAAGAAGCCGGCCATAGTCTGGGGTAGCACCTTATGGTTGTTGGAGATGAGCCAGTTCTAGGAGCGACAGACACATTTGCAGCACAACAAGGAGCGGGAGAGGAGGCAGCGAAGGATCTCTAGAACAACATCCTCTGTGAGGCTGGCTAGTGCGTTCCTGTTGTTGGGGGCTGTCTCCATTTGGAAGAGCCTACGATCGTAATTGTGCAGTAGGATGAGAGCTTCCTTAGTAATGAGATAACTAAAGAGGAAAATAATCCAACAAAGATCCATCAGTGTAGTGTGAAAGCATTACCCTTGCCTTTGGATCTGGCGGTGGCACGACGCGAGGCGTGCAATGGTTCACACAAATTGCAAGAGGAACAATGCGCTGGCCGTGCGGCAGGTGGTAGTGGCGCTACGCGAGGCGTGCAATTGTTCACATAAACTAGGAGAGAGGAACAATGCGCCAACCTTGAAGATGGAGAAGTGGAATAGTGATGCAACTGTGTTGTGGGTAGTTGGAAAAACTCACTCAATTTACTATCGTCGGTAGACCAAACGGTCGTGTAGGGCCGGCGGCCAGAATGCCTATCTAGTTGGCTTGGCTTTTCAAGCGATGGAGAAAATACCACTGCCACATCTATTATTAACCCATCGATGGTAGAAGTCTCAACTGCCGGTTTCCTTCATCAGGAGGCCTCGCTATCGGTCCAACCGGTGGTGAAAGTAAAACACAGTCGCTTCTATTGCTATGGCAGTGAAAGTGGCGATAGTGATAAGTCAATCTATAGTAGTGTGTCAGCACAGCCAGGCGTCTAGCGCAATGGTAAAGACACTTCATTTCATGGTCCAGATCCCAGGTTCGACTCCCAAGTATCAGACCTTTTTTTTTGAGAAATTAAACCCTGACGGCACACATGGTACAAGTGACACGCAAACCATCGGGTCTCATAGGTTGGATGGATATGGAGAAAGGTCCCACAGGTACACGTGACATGTAAGCCGTCGGGTCCCACAGGTGGGATGCAGAAGGACCGAGCGAAGACTTTTATGATGAATTGCAAGCGTCAAGTGACACGCAAGCCGTCGGGTCCCACAGGTCGGATGGAGATGGGCCATCGAGTCCCACAAGTCGAATGCTGAAGGGTCCCGTAGGTACATGTCGGATGGAGAAAGGATCGAGCAGAGACTTTTATGACAAATTGCAAGTGTCACGAATGAGTAATTGTAGGTCTCATAGGTACACGTTGGATGGAGAAGGGTCCCATAGGTACACGTCGCATAGAGAAAGGATCGAGCGAAGACTTTTATGATGAATTGCAAACGTCACAGATGAGTAGTTGCAGGTCCCACAGGTACACATCGGATGGAGAAAGTATTGTGTGGAGATCTATGACGAAGCACCGTTCATTACAGATCGAATATTGTTCATCACAGATGTGTAATTAGTTCAATGATGAAGCCCTGTTCGTCGCAGTATTAAAGGAGATCGTCAAAGATCAGTCGCGAGAGTGATCTGCGATGAAACCCTGTGCTCTTCTATGATGTTTTTTGTGACGATGCCTAATTTTATCATAGATAGAGAGGGTTGGAGGATCGTCACCACTGATCTATGACGAAACGGAAATATTCGTCATAAAAAGCGCTCTTCTATGATAGTTTCAGATTGGTCATTAAGATTTTCGTCATAGAAGTGGATATTTCTAGTAGTGGAAAGGTTTGGACTAGTATTGATAAGGCTTAAGAACCTAGCCTAAGCTGCTCCTAGAGTCTCCTTCTCCTTTTGTTGAAAGGTAAGAAGTTCTATTCGAAGGGTGGCGATAGGAAAAGAGGGAAGAAAGCAAGACAAAATTTGTCTCGAAGTTCATCCCAATTTTCATGAACCCCACCTACGGTATGAGCATACCATTGTTTTGCTCTTCCCAAAAGTGAGAACGGAAACAATTTCCATTTAATGGTCTCACGTGTCAATTTAACGTTGGTATTTAATTTTACAGTATTGTTATCTTATCGTACGATCCGTGTGCTTTTAGTAGTATAAAATGTTAACTTTTCCGTAGCAACGCACGGGCACGAACTAGTATATAAAAAATATCAATAGTTAACACATTAATTGAGACGTGAACTTTAGCAATCTAAAACATGTTATATGTTGACACGTTACAAATCGAGTGTGTATATTATACTAACTCGAATAAAACTATATTTCATAGCTGAGAGGGCCTTTACCTGTCACGTATATTGAGCATGCAAGATGGCCATGTAAAGTTTCATGTATGCACGTAAATTTTCGTGCACGTTGGGCACATATACATCAATTTCACGTCTCTTTGAGCACATACGTGTAGTACGAGTTACGTGAATAAAAAATATGTAGTTTATGTTAATTGAATTATGCTATTTCTAAGGTTGCAAAAAATAAAAAGATTTACCATATCCAATGGATCATGTATGCATCAATTAGATCTATAACAATCTTTATCTCTAAAACTTTTCCTGATTTATCATACTTTTCAAAATTAAAAATTAAATAAATATATATTTCATATGCCCATGCCACGAGTTTGCCATAGGACCCTCAAAAACGTAGGACCGGCACTGGATGATTTATATGGCTTTGATAGTTGAAAGAGTCTTGTTTTGTTTTGCAGTTCATTAAGGAAGAATTTCAGACTCTATAGTTTAGGAAAATACGTATATCTCAGCAAAACAAAAAATAGAGAGGTTTTGGGCCAAAGAAACCTATCAGGATGATCGGTAAGCAAAATCTCATTGATGTAGGATTTTCTACAGCTTGTGAGCCACAGCCCACTACTAATATCCTCTACGAGCATCTCCAGGAGTTTCCAAAATCCACTTCCAATCTTGATTTTTTTAGTAAGATTAAAAAAAACTACTGTCCAATAACTCTCAATCTTTCCGCACTTTGGGAAAATCAACCTAGTCGCGCGAAAATATACTCCCTCCATTCTAAAAAGAAAGTTGTTATGGGATGCGTGCAGATTAAACTTTTTCAAATTTAACTAGGTTGGTAGAAAATACGTGCAATATTTATATCTCTAAATAAGTTTATTGAATTTTTTTACAATGGTTGGGGGAATTTAGACGTCTCACGTCGAGCGATCCGACGGCTAGGAAGCCAGAAAGTGATGAGAGAAAGGCGATGGGATGTGATAGATGTGTCTATGGTCGGTGGGCCCATATGCACCACGTCATTTCCCATCGCCTCCAAAATTGAGAGAATTAAGATTTCAAATAAAGGAGTGGTAATTTCTTTTTCGTAGTTCTTTTATTTAATGAAGGGTAAAAGGGTAAATTCATAATTATCAAAATAATATTTTGGTAGTATAGTTGGGGTGTAATGAGTACTCCCTCCAGTTCTCTAAAGCAAGTCGTTTTGGACATTGACACGGTCTTTAAGAAACGACTTTGACTGTAACTTTTTGCTATAAAATATTTATAAAATATAGTCAATATATACTTTTATGAAACTACATTTCGAGATGAATCTACTTATATCACTTTCATATTTTTAAACTCAACCCAAAAGAAGTTATTTATAGTCAAAGTTTAAAATGTTTGACTTAAGACAACCTCAAAACGACTTGTTTTAGAGAACCGGAGGGAGTAAGTACTAAAGTTAGTTAGCTATATAAAAATCTTCTTCTAGGGTTCACCCGCAGCCGTTCACCAGTCGCCCCAACCGCGCGCCGCCGTCCGCCCGTCGCCGCATCCGCCCGCCGCCGTCCGCCGCCATCCTACAGGCACCGTCCACCCGCCGGAGCAGGAGCGCGGTCCCCAAGCGCCGTAGAGGCGTCGGCGCGGCTACCGCCTCCGGGTCCACGGCACAGTCGCTGAACGACGACATCCTCCGGTCCGTCTTCTCCCGCCTGGACGACCACTTCGACCTTGCCCGCTGCTCCGCCGTGTGCGGCTCATGGTGAGCTGCTGCTCCTCCTCCCGCTTTCCCTTTCGCAGTTGTCCTCCTGGTTGCTACAATCAGCCGGTCCCTTTGTTATAAGATAACTTGTTTCGTTCCGTGGCTAATCTTAGTAGTTAGTTCATCCATGATTTTGACTGTAAATCTGTGCCTGTTGTTGGTGAACTCATTCGGGGGTTTCTGTTCTACACCAGCTCTATCTTCTTTGGAGAGGGAAAAAAGACTAATTTTTATGGTAGAAAGGTAACAGTTTCACCAGGAAGCTGGACGGAGATTTGTTATTTTAGTGGAATTACTTGCAACTCACCATGCTGGACTATTTTCTATCTGTGTTTTATGTGCTATTATGATGCACCCTATTTGCTGCAAGAGAACACCTGAACCATTAGATTAGGTCTCTTGTGCTACAAAGTAGATCATGCACCTGCAAGTGCATGATTTTGAGTCACTGGATCACAGATGGAGTAGGCGTAGCCATGGGCTTGTAGCTCTCTGAGATGCAGTTTGGTCTCACCATTTATTTCTGATCCTGATCTGAACCATGATACCTTGATGAGGCTAACTTGTGCTATGTATTAATAAGGATGTATGTGCATAGTCTACAACTCTTTTAAGTCAATTTTTGTTATGTATTAATAAGGATGTATGTGCATAGTCTACAACGCTTTTAAGTCAATTTTATTGCTGGTTCTTGGTACCAATTTTTGTACCATAAATTCTTGCGATAGAGTATTAGACCATGTTTTCTGTTTGACCTTTTCTGTTTCATGCATTTCTCCTGTTTCGGTTGTTGGATGAGTGTTCTCAAAACTGAGTCTATGTATCTGTGTTGATTAACATTTGCAATATGTTTTCTCCTCAGTTTTATAGGAATAGGCTAATTGAAACAACTCATCTCATGAGGGATCTGTATTACAAAAGGAATCCACCAGCAAAAGATTCAAGCTCTAATATTTTAGTAAAAAGTTACTTTGAGATGCTTGCCATGGATGAGCATGCATCATCTTTCTCTAGAGGACCTGCTGAAGCTTTTCAGTGGATTGGGCACCCAATACGGTAAGCACTCATGTTATACCTCATATATATGGTGTACAATGACAGGGGTTCCCATTCATTGGGTCATCAAACATCATAAATATTCTCTACTATGACAAATCATACTATACTTTTTACCTACTGTACATCATTTGAGAAGTGGCTCAATATTCATGTTTATTTTCGTTCAGTTTCTTACTTTTTATTTCAGGGCTACCTTGTGCCCTATGAAGAGTGGTTCAATTTTAACTGGAGTTGGAGATAAGGTGGGTGCATCTACATGTAGTACACCTACATGCTTACGGTATTGTACATTGAATGGTTAGGGAAGCTAAGGATGATGACCTTTTCTTACTGATCCAGAAACTGTGAAATTATTGTTGTCAATCATCCAGCAGTTTTCTCCTGATCACTACTGTTTATCAGAAATATTTCCTTGGCATATTATGATTTGAGGTCGCATTCATCATTTTATCTCGAATACGCACAAGATTTGTGCATCATTGTATTAAGAAGAAGAATTTAACTATACAAACGACTCATCAAGAAGAGTTTAATAAATTGAAGAGACCAAGCTGCTGAAGAAGAATTTAACCATAGAAACGGACTCGTCAAGAAGAGTTCTGTTGAAGGTTGTTCCTTCATAATGGCAAGGGCAATACAAATGGAGGCATTGGCATTACTGAAGAATGTGATCTGGAGGATCAGGTAATCTTTAGATTTACCGAAAAATAGTTTGTCCATGTGACCTTGTTTCTCTAGGACTTTGTAAATAGTGGTGACAAGCAAATGACTTCCTATCAGTGAATTTTAAGAAGACAAACACATAATTAGGAGGCAGTATGTTCCTGTAGTGTTTTTTTACATGAATGAAGCTCCATTGTTGATAATTTGTTGCTTACTCATACCTTGTTTGTTTTATGGTTCTATTTTTGGGTGCCTCCTTGTCACATGCTGAAAAGACAAGCATTTGTGCTCATGTTACTTCATGTAAGTCAAAAGCTTAGTCCAGGCTGATGCAAACTGCCCTGATTCTGCCCTGATTGAATTGCTCCTATTTTTTTTGCATTCCCTGACCAGCTTGTGTGCATTGTACACTTCATGTCCATGAATGTGATATTTCTTTGTAAAGCATGTATAATATTCTCTTCTTTGTTCTCTCATAAAAACAGACTCATATTAGTTCAATTTTGGTTTTGCAGATGTCTTGAAAGAGCTATTATTGCAGGCCTTTCCCGTGTTAGCTATGACAACAAATTTTGTAAATGCCACAGCTTTGGACACTGCTGCAACTCAGAGCCACATTGACATCATTTAACTGCAATCTTGGAGTTGGAGTTTTTGCGAATCCTAGTGTCCAATTGTTTTTATGTAATCAATGGTGAATCCTAGTGTCTAATTGTTGCTGACTTGCTGTATTGTCAGAAAAGTTTGGCAACAAGACAAAATCTTGTAACACCCCGGTGTTACGATCTTATTTAGCGCCGCGATTTAGGTCTAAGTAAAACTTTCGAAACGAGTTTCTCGAATTTTTGATTTAAAACATACGTGAAACGATAAGCGAATCTTGTGTGACTTAGTTTCGCGGACTCGAATTAAGCGCTCAAGTTAAGCTACGCCGTGCATAGGAATATTTATGAATGGCCGACGACGATTCTAGCAAACGGTTTGTTATATTAAATTAAGCATGAGAAGCAACTTTTATAAATAAAATAAAATCCATTAATAAATAAAAAGGATATATATATATATTTATATATATATACACTTTCGTGTTTATTTGGATAAGTACGCGTGTGGTTGTAAAGCTTTGGCCTAGTGACATATTTACGTTCACGTATAAACTCGTTTTAGTCCTTAGGATAAATTAGTAACGTACCCGCGACAGCAGCCGTCCTGACCGCTTGACGCTTAAATACGGTGGTCCATTTTCCCTGCTCTGAAATAATCCGTCATCCAAATTAGTAACGTCTTGTCGTGTTGTCGGATCCGTCGCCGCGTACGCGGGCTCGCTAGATATCGTCGATGGTACAGTACCGCTATCTACCTCCGTTGTCACGTCGCTTTGCAACGCTGTCGAAAAACGCCACGCTGTCCCTCGTTCATGGAGATGGGCGAGCCGTGTAAATGTCGTCGCCTTGTTTTTCTCCATCTCACTCTCTCGGTGTCTGGCCGTGCCTGCCTTGGCTTGTCTCTGCCTGCCTTGATTGCATTTGTCTTCTGCCTCTGCTTGTCCTTGCTCCACTGTTTCTCTACCGGACAAGCCGGCCGGTCACCTCCGAGCTGCTGCTGTCTCCGGCCCCTGCTCGGCCGCTAGCACATTCTGAAGCAAGAACCACTACAAACTTAAATGCAGCAGCAGTTATACGTGTACAAGTTTACATGCAGCAGTCAAATCGGTGCCAGACCTGTCCCGCAACACGCCATGGCCGCTGGGCCACGGCCGACACCGCCCGCCTGTCGTCCCTTCCCTTTTCCCCTCATGCTTGCGCGTCCTCGGTTTCCCATGCTGGACGCAGCCCCAGCTCTTGCTGTTTCTTTTTCCCTCTGCTTCTCCGCAGCTCCACCGCACGCCACACCAGCGCCCTCCTCGTTTCTCCTCCCACGCTGTCTTCCGTGCGCCCAGGCCCGTGCCGTTGCCGCGCCTCCCTTCGCCGTCGCGAGTGTGCATGAGCACGTGTGCCCCACGGCCACGCCGGACCTCCGTCTCCTGGACGCCCGCGCGCCCTCCTCTGGGTTGCGCCGTCCATCCGCACCACCGGCGCCTCTCCTTTTCCCCCATGCGCGCAGGCGCACCCGAGCTAGCCATGGCTGCGCCTCCCACCACCGCCGCACCCCTCCTTTTCCTCTTCTGTCGTGGTCGTGCGTGGCCATCGTGCCCGCCTGCCTGCGCGTGGTCGTTGTGACCGCGCTGTCATCCCCACTCCTCCGCGAGCACCGGCGCCCTCCTCTTCTTCTTCCCCGCGTGCACGTGCACGCCGTGCCGCGCCGTCACCACCGTGCCCCGCAGCACCGCCGCATTCTCCGTGCCCGTGTGCCCGAGCCTCCAGCTCCACCGCACGCAAGTCGCCAAAGCACCGCGCACCATCCGGTCGCCCGCGCCCCCTGTCCTCGCTGAGCTGCCGTGAATCGGAGCCACCGCTGCCGGTTTGCCACATTCCGCGTTTTTGCGCGGGCATGCTGCCGTGGGGCAGCTCGGGCCTTGCTATGGCCGGGTTGTGGTCGCGCGAGTTCCCGGGCAACTCTCCGGTGGGTCTCCCGCCACCGCCGTGCCTTCCCAGCCAGGATTGGTCGCTGGCCGGAGCTCCCCTGCCGGTGCTCTGCATTGGAAGAAGACGAAGGGTATGGATCCAAGCCGAGATTTTATACGGGGACCTTTCTGCGAAATACGCGACCTAGGTAAATAGTGCCGATGTACTGTGGGGTATTTTGTTAGAAACTCGGGGGGTCTTAACGCAAAATTTACCGCCACTGTCCTGCCCTGGCGGCGTGGGCCGGCTTGCTGGGCCATCCGCGTCCGCGCGCCTAGGCCGGCCTGCTCGGTCCCCGACTGGGTCGCTCGTGCCCGTCCCCGTGTTGGACCGCGTCGCCGTTTCTGGGCCGCTGCCCCGCTTCCCGCCGCTTGGGCCGCTGGCGGCGTGCACCGCCTAGCCGCTGGCCTGGGCCCCGGTGCCGTGCGCGCGCCCCTCCTTCTGGGCCTTGGCCACATGGGCTGCTGCCGGCCTGGGCCGCTGCCCGCATGAGCGCAGGTGGGCCGCCTGCCTGGCCAGCTTGGCCGCGGGCGTCTGGGCCTCTTGGCCACCCACATGGGCCGCGCTGGCCGAGGCTGGCCCGAGGGCCTATCTTTTTCTTGTTTTTGTTTAAAAAGGGCTGAAACTTGCAAAATCTAAATAAAATTATGTAGGTGTCCAAAAATGATGAAACCAGTTTTGTTAGTTTCCTAAAATCATGATCTATCTAATAGTGTATTTTGTTCACATAGTTTGATAATATTCTTGGAATATATATAATTAATTTAAGATACTTAATATGGTAAAAATATGAACTTGTAGGAATTGTTGTAATTGTTGTAGTTCCAGAATAATTACTTTGCTAGATAGATGATGATGCCCTATTTTGAATAAATATTAAATTGATAAAATGAAATAAAGAAACAACTTGGGTTTATATAACTAAAGTAATTGTCGGGAAATAACGTCTTATTCGACAACATGTATGGGTAGACTAGGTACGGTCGTCGTTAGAACTGGCCCGTTAACTTGAGCGGCGTACGTCGTATTTTACGAGTCACGATTGCAGTTGATTAATTACATCTTTGCATTGCATCGCATGCATATCATATAGGTACGATGATGGATCAACGGATTGATCGAAGGATGATTGGGAATTCGAAGATGGTGTAATGATATTCTCTCCAGGAGATGATACAATGGGTTTTCTATTCAGATGATGTGGATGATCTGACGATGCTGATACTAACTTTTAATATGTCTTAACCAGGCAAGCCCCGGTGCATAACCCCTACTTTCTGCAGTTTAAATTATATTTGTGCATTAAGTTTTAAGAAGTTGAATGAAACCCACTTGCATATATATCTTTATCCTATGAGTCTAGTATGACAGGATCGTGTAGATTGCTGTGCTACAGAACTCCGATAGAAGTCGAGTGATTGCCTGTCACTCACGAGAGATAAGAAATATATTACTGTATTATTATCACTTGAAAATATAAATGGTGCAAAGGTAAACGGGTGACCGGGCAGGGATATGGTTTGGGTATTGGTGGGTGTAAGAGGTTGTGTCGTTGTGGACACGGAGCATAGCTTGATTACACTGTTTTCCCTGTCTGGTCGATTAAGGACCGATCGTTGCATAAGGCATCGTGGGCAAGTCACAGACTTATTATCCCGAGCACATACTTGTGTATGGGCGCTTGGAAGACTTGTTGCTCTCATGTCGCGGATCCGGCTCTTTCCGGACTGACTGTCAGGGTTTTATTTTGGTGGAGAAGGTCCTTGCACCGCACTGAGTCCGAGACTCAGGGGCGGGGGCTTAGAGTCCCAGTTTGGACGGGGACCTGGACACCCGGGATAGGAGAGTGATGGGTTGGTCCTGCTTGTGCCTAGGGTACAAGCGGGGCGTGTGTTTTCGGGGTACCCAGCTGGGGGCATTGATTCGTGAATCACCGGGCGATCCGGTACGGCTTGTCTCGTGTTTAGCATCGTAGTAAGAACTGAAAGATGAAAGATGGAATGGAAAAAGAAACTCTGATTGCTTACCACCTGCTTGAAAGTAGCATAGGTGCTTACATAGAATGGTTAGTTAATGAACCAATGCGGCTATTAATAAAAATCGAATATAAGGATGCACACTTAGTAATGCTTCCTGCAAATGAAACCCACAAGCCAGATAGCCTTGCATATCCTTGGAGTCTTTTCTTTCCTCCTATCGGGTAAGTCTTGTTGAGTACAATTGAGTACTCAGGGTTTTATTCTCCCTGTTGCAGGTGATAGGTGGATGCTTGAGCTAACTCTTGTGTGTGGATACCTCCTGGTGGGCTCAGCGAGGATTCCTTTATGCTGCGATCGTAGTTGTCATTTATAACTCTCATCAAATGCTTTTATAAATGAAAGTTTCATAATCTGTTGTCGTAGTTTATATATCAATACTTCATTATGTTATGAATAGGTATTTATTTCCGCTGTAATTCTGATCACATGTTTATATTCCACTGTTCAATTAAATTGTTCATGACTCTGATAATATGATCTCATTTCACTGTTATACTAATAAATATTATACTCTGATGTTGTATTAAAAGTGGTGTAAGAAATGGTTCAGAATGATGTAAGCTTTATTCTCTCATTTGTGATCCTGATGGCAAAAATGTGGATTTTGAAGTTCTCCCCTGGGGTGTGTCCGACGGAACCAAGTAATTTAGTGTTCTCCCTTGAGTGCTTAGTGTCTAATGGAAGACAAGCACTCCTTTGAGGCATTAGATTAGACGGTTCTGCCACAAATCTGCTGTGAATCATTGTTTTGTACATAAATGTGTTTAAAAATGTGAGGTAAGCGTGGGAATCCCCCTTCTCTATCCGTCATTATTCTGACTTTCTGAAGAGAATCACACAGAATGTGAGGTATCCCTATAAACCCGGTAGCATACGAGCTAACGCAATCGTGGGTTGGGTTGCATCCAATCGTGGGTTGGG